CTCTCTCTCTCTCTCTCTCTCTCTCTCTCTCTCTCCTATACTTACAATGACATAATATTTGGTCACGTGATGGGTGAACAACAGCCGGTATATGCTTTGATTGAGTGATCCGTAACCGGAGTCCAGCATTAGGTGCGATACGTGCGACCAAAACCAGTCCTCGTTATCGGCGGTCAACGCGCCCACAATTTTGACCGCTTGGCCCACACTATGGCACAGGTGTGTGAATTCAAATATATGGGCCATGGTGATAGTGGCTGATATTGACAGCAATTCATCCAGTTCATTAATATCTACCAAGTGCTTAGGCCCGGGATCAGCACTCATAGGCGGTGTGCTAGAGACCCAAAAAGTGTCCGAAAGGGCCGGCAATGCGGACCCTGTAGTGAGTGTTGTTACGAGCGTTTCGGGTACTACTGGTGCAATGTCTGTGCCATCACTGGCCGACCCATTGTCTGTCCCAATAGTGGGGTCAGTAGTGGTGAGCCATTCGCAACATTTCGCGGCAAACAATCGCTTCAATTCGTTAAGTTTTGTGTACTCTTTGGCAGTCATGAGAAAATAGGGTACAAATGAGTGCATTGTGTTAAACAGCGGGTTAACGGTGGCCGCCGTCTCCCGGTTCGGACAGTTGGCTAAACACTGATAATAAAAATAAACATTAATTACAAATTCAAATAAACATGGTGAAATAAATTCAGAAACAATTCAAAAAATACCTTTTTATACAATTCCAATGCATTGTAAAAGTAATTCAAACACTTGTTATAATCCCAATCATCAAAACCACTTTTAGACATATGTTTGACAATAAAGTCCGAATGATTAGCGCCTTTATTGGACAATACCTGCACTAACCGTATGACAGCCCACTTCTCGTCGTCCACAAACTTCATGGCCGTCACCCATACTGTGCCCACACGTGCGGTGAATGTGATGTACGGCATGTGTGGACAACTGCCGGTTGTGGCGAAAGTGTCTGAATTGAGCTCAACGTCCAGATAGTTGATGGGCGCCGAGGGGTGAGTGCCCGGCGCTAATGGCGATAGTATTGGTGTAGACACTGGCAATGGTATAGGTATTAATGGTTTCCATTGAGACAGTAGAGGAGGTGTCGGTGATTGGGGTTCCGGTGCCGGCACTGAACCGCTATTCATATCACTATTAATGCACACATTTAGTGATGTGTTGTCACTGGAAGTCCAGCTCTTCGGCCGCACCCGTAGTTGCGATAGGTTTTCAATGAGGTGTTCATCGCTGGGAATAATGCAATACTTGTTGAAATCGGTGTCAAATATATATTAATAATTGAAATAATTATAGATTTTATACAATTAATATTTATGTGTTGAACATGTGTTAGACACGTGTTTTTAATTAAAACTAAAAGTGTATGTGTAGTACACTATACAAGTCTACACAATAGGTGTGTATTCAATGCATACTTCGAAGACATGGGTATTGGATGTGATGTTGTGTTTGATTTGTTTGCGGATCTCATTGTAGACCTGATTGAAGGGCAACACAACCGCACTATCCGTACGATCGCTGCAAATGCTATAGTTTTCACATCCATTCAAATCTAACAATACTTTCATTATTACAACATTTAGTTCACAATAAACAGCACTTCATTATAACCGTTACATAACACGAGATAAATTGACAGAAACTATATTTTATCGCTTTTAAACAAAACTAAATTAATTTTTACAATATATAAAATACAACAACAAACACAGTGGTTATAAAATATACTGTTCATGTATAGTAATTATTGATTACTAATCAATATAGCAATCATTAAAACAGCAAACTTATTAATCGGTACTATTCATACTCAATAGTCATATACTTTACTCACATTTAACATAAAGACTAATAAATGTGGAAAAATAATTGAGGTTTGAAAATTATTAAACTTTCCATATAAACTTTCCACTTTACATGTAGCTTATACAGGATGTTTTTTATTGGACTATAACATTATAAAGTCAAATATCTCGAAAGGTATTCGGTCTAGAATTTCAAATGATATATCAAAATACTCATCAACTGCGGGAGTTTTTGTTGTGATATGGTCAATATGCTAGACCTCCTATTTTAATAATAATGTCCAATCAAGCAAAATTTTAGCATTTTTACCATAGACATAATGTTAAATTCAAAGTTATTTTTGAACAAATTCCTGAAATAGGTATCAAGTTATTTTTGCTCCAGTTTAAGATTATGTAATCAAAATTCTGGTGCTGTATGTACTTTTTTGTATTATAAAAGATTTTTTACAAAAGTTGTGTATTTTGAGATCATATAAATCCGAAATATTGACAAATCATTAATAAATCAAAAACTACATACAGCACCAGAATTTTGATTACATATTCTTAAACTGGAGCAAAAATAACTTGATGGCACTGTATTTTAAATTTTAAATCATATATAAGTTATACTATATGGTTTAATTATAACAGAATAATTATAAAATATTTAAAAAATCATGCAACAAAA